TGATTGAGACATTGCAGGAGTTTTTGAAAGATCAAGCTTCGTTCCCCTGTCACGGCAACCGCTCGCCGCCGCCGCAGGTGTTTCTCCCGGCCAAGGACTCCATTCCCTCTATACTCAGCGATGATCTCGAACAATCGGAATCGTCGGATAGAAATTCGATGGGGGATATTATGAGCGCGACGGGGAGCTGGGCGAGTCCGACTAATTCGGTGGAGCAAGACGGAGAAAGCTATTCCGATTATCAATCGGAGAAGCAATCTCAGTTTGGGGATTCCGCGAGCATGAACGGAAACGAGAACGAACAGAATCTGACCCCTAATTTTGCGTTCTTCGACGACGGACCACAAGAAAACGTAAAGCCCTATCAAGAGCAGCTCCATTTTGGCGCTCCGAGTGGGAGATTAGGCGATTGGGAACTCGTTCTGGCGGAGTCCGCAACGGAGCCGCCGCCTCAAGAGTGGCCGGATTTCTTCGCGCCGTCCATCGGAGACGACGAGTTCGTGAAATCCATCTCGCCGCAGCAGCAGTACAACAACCCGTTCCTTCAAGGTGCAGACGATTTATTCGCAGTTCCGCCGACGTTCACAGCAGAATTCTCCAGTCCAGAGACGGAAATCGCTCCGACATTTCGGGCGCAGAATTTCAAGGAGGAGACGGTCGCCGTGGCCGTAGCCCCAACTTTCCGCGCAGAAACGGTGCCATTTTGTCCGGCGAATAATCTGAATTTTGAGGCATGGGGCTCGACGGAGACGGTTGTTGCGAACTCAACGAAGGAGAGCAATCTGTTTTCATTCAATCCGGCCGGGGAAGACGATCCATTTGCAGTTTCATGGCGTAGCAGTGAAAAGGGAAACGATCGGAGTTTTGATGGGAAGACGATGAACGAAGAAAGTTTGTTGGAGCAGCAGAAATTGTGGAAGGAGCAGCAAAACAAGATTATAGCGAAGCATTTAGCGTGAGTTTTTTGGGAGGGCAAAATGGGAAACTTCGGGTGTAATTTTGTAAATAGCCTCGAAAACTTTGCTTTCGATTCAAATTTGATGATTTATTTGGCTATTGGAAAAAAAAAAAAATAAGGGCTCCCACTCAAAAACTGCCTCTTACATCTTTGTAAGATTTTTTTGGGTACACATTTTCTGTTTTTGGCAAAATGTAGTCTTGAGTTTCTAAAGGAGTGCGATTTTTATTCCTTAAACCTACACTAGAAAAGGGTTAACAAAATAAGTTAATTCAAACTTCACTTTGGGATACTTCTACTCTTTTAAGACCGTCTAGTTTATTTATGAACTTGTGACATTAAATTTTATGTTTAGTAGGAATGTTTACTTCGAAGAGTTGGAGTTTAAATTCAAGTTAGTGAAGTTATTTCATTGTTTTTATACTTTTTTTCCATAATTTCGTTCTATCATGCAGTCATGCTTAAAAAATTAAATTTGAACCTACAACATCATCAAATTTACGTTCTACTAAACTGAACTAAGAGCTCTTTCCTACTAAAGTTAAACTAAACTGAGAGCTCTTTCCTACTCAAGTGACACGATTATTTACACGTGTGAAAGAGTTTGAATAATTAAAGATTTTGTATGTGCAAATATCTAAACTTTTAGTTGTTTAGGTCCCTAAATTTTCAATTTAATGTCGAGTAAAATTAAATATAATCCTAAAAGTGACTTAGACTAAAAACAAAATAAAAAAAATATATTATTATTAAGCTTTTCTTTTTTAAGCTAGAGAAATGTTTCCCACCTCAAACATGGCAAGAAATCCTAGGTTAGAATGGTGTTTGGGAGTGGAAATTATTTTTTCCCCAATTTAGAAGCAATCTACTAGAAATTGATCTAGTAGAGTGGGGAAGGTGTAACGAACATTGAAAACTAAGGATGGAGGTGTTTAAGTGGGTTAGAATTTTACATTTTCTTAACAAAAATTAAAATAAAAATAAAATTGACGTTTCGACTAATGTATCCAAGTCGATGAAAATATAGTAAAATCTACGTACTAAATTGACAAAAACCAACTCAGATCAATCTTTTATTTAAACTGACATATAGCCTTCAATAATTTTCTTTTTTCTTTGATCTAATAAACAACATTTCATTAGAGTATAAAAGTAGGAGGAACAGAGCTAGAGATACTAAATTACTATCTACATTTTGATATAGTCATAGTTAACTAACAGCATGAAAGTTTAAAAAATGGAGATTTAACCAAATCATAAGAACCAACTTTTATTTCTTCTTTAGTACAACTCATAAGAACCCACTTGAAACTAAAACTACACGGATCAAGCTAAAATGAAGTGTAAAAAATTAGAAAATAGTTTCAAAACCAGTGGAGTAACTCAAAATACAGAGAAGTTGCAGTATTTAGAAGAAGCCAATGGTAAAGTAGAAAGAAGAGTGCACAAACTGCTGCCTCATGGGAGAGAGAGTGAAAAAAGGGAAGATAAGGAAGCTTTACAGCTAGCTCATGACTAGCTTTATATTCATGGATATCACGGGAAAACCCCCTCAATAACAAAAGCCACTTCATTTCCTTCTCTCCCTTTTTCATCCCAAATACCAACCAAACAGACAGACTCACACACAGAGATAATTGGATTATCCCAAAAGTGGCATAAATAGCAACTGGCAGGCAGAAGCATGGCCCCACTCTCCCTCTGAAAATTCTCTCCTAAGGTCACTCTGAATAAGATCACTGTGAAAAATACAATCTTGACAGTGAGGATCAAGAATTGTCTTACCATCATTAAAAAATTGACAACTCATTATTTTTTATAAAAAATCTATGTTATTGCATTTTTCTTTCTTGGTTGTCAAATATTTTTAACAGTAGTGAGGACAAAATTACTCCCCACGATTAAGGAGTGAAGTATTTTCCGGTCACTATTCCACCCGCAAAGCTCAGCACTTTATTTTGGGACCCTCACCACATTTTCCCTGTTTTTTTCTCCTACATCTTCGCCGTGCCTTCCTCTCTCTCTTCTTCCCTTTTCCAATATTCTCAATCATATTTTCTCACTCCGAATCAGAAATCACATGGAAAAACATTTCTCACGTCTCATGCCTCAACTTCTTACCCCTAAGAACTTCCAATCTACGCCCATAATTGATTACTTCCCCCTCACATGGGATTGCCAGCCTGAGTGAACCCCAAGCTTTCTTCCCCTCTCACTACAAGATTGCCCTCAAAGTTATAAAGAAGATCCCTACCTATAACTAACTAGTGGGGTTGAGCTCGTTTTTGGAATTATCAATCGTATCAATAAACAGGCATGAAGAAACCACAAGGCCCCACCATCCCATATCTGATGGAAAACGGCCCTTCTCTTCTAAATCTCAAATTTTCCTCCTCCATCATTACCCACTTCAGATCTGGCTCTGCATTGCCAGCCCTAGACTAATGGATGATGAATTATGAAACAGAAACATACAGAATCAGACAGAATACAACCCATTCACAAGCCAAACTCCAGCCAGCCAAACAGAAGAAAACAAAAGGATTCGGATCATTCACAATCCGACACATTTGTTGGTCAAAAAAGTATACACAAAACCACCTCCACTCTTTTCACTAACTTCCTAAATAATAAAAATAAATTCTTCCCATTACATAACTTTCTTCTTTTTTTTTTCAATAAAATAATAAAGAAACTCACCTGAAATTTACACAATCAAACAAAATGACAATCATGGGCATGAGACATCTCACTTATATCCCTCATCAGTGAAATTAAATTAATAATATAAGCAAAAAAGCATACCAGGATACTCCCTAAAACCCGCATCCGTGCTTTTCTTTCTTTCCTCCTTTTTTTTTCCCCTTTTTGTCTAAACATTAACAGAAGGGTAAAAATATTAATAAAAAACGACAATATACTACGGAGTTGAAAATAAATAGTTGTTGGAGTATACGGTTGGGTTTGGTCATGTGTAGTTGTAACTTCTTCTCTCAGTCTTCAGCGGTTAGAAAAATCCAAACGAACTCCTCCAGATTCCTGAAAATACAGTTTATAAATTAAATAAATTTGATAATTACCTTATTATTCCAAAAAAAAAAAAAGGAAGAACGAGGCAATGCCTGTCGTCTTAAGTACTATCATAATTACTACGACTAAATTATGTGTCATGGTCCACTGGCATTCAGTGGTCCCCACAGGTTTGATGGGCGATTCTGATACGACGTCGTGTTTGTTTCCCTACCGGTGACTGGCACTGGGCCAGTCACATTAGGGGCATCATTGACTTTCTACCTAACGATACTCCCGGGTCAATCTCAGAGAACGGATTAAAGCGAAGGGTCAACACCTGATACTATAGCGTGTTTCCGATTTTACCCTTGAACTAATCTTACCTTTGACGGCGGGGGTTAGTTTCTTTTGCGTTATTCCCTCCAGGTCCTGCTGAAGATGCTTCTCAGCCGATTGCCGGTGAGCCGCTGCAACGCCTTTTTAGCTCCGACGACGTTCATATCGGAGAGCTTCTGTAGGTTCTGGTAAGCTCCGGCATCTATAAGTCGCTTCCGGCAACCGTTGCTTCCTCCGGCGAGTACTGCCGAGACGATCGCTATCGGAAACGTCTTAACGACGACCTCGTTTCTCGGATCTAGCATCTGCATCAATCTCATCACGCTCTTCTCGTCCCTCATCAACTCCTTCCGATTTGATCGGACGGTCAAGAGTGACGCAAGGGCTTGCACCGCCACCTCCTGAACTCCGGCCGGCTTCGGCATCTCCATTAGCTTCACCAAGGAAGCCATACAACTCCAAATAGCTCGCTTATTCCCGTCGCTGATTGATAAATTAGCGAGCAGAGAAGCGGCGATTTGCTGCAGCATTAGGTTTCCGTGCTTCACCAATTCGCCGAGTTTCATTACGAATAATGTTGAAGACGATAGAATCCGAGCAACTGAATCGGAAACCGAGAGAGAACTTAGGGCTCGCAACGCGTTTTCGATCGTATCTGAACTCGGTGAGTCGTGGATCAAATGTAATAATCTAGGTAATCCTCGTTCTTGGATTATCAGTGATCGGAAATAATCACCGGAGGAGGCCAATACTGCTATACAGATTGCTGCCTTTTCTTGAGTCGCCATCGTGCTTGAAACTAGCAACTGTAACAATACTGGAACCGCCCCTTCCTCGACGAGAGAGGTTTTGATATCTTCCACCGCCGTGACATTCCTAATCGCACCGACCGCTGGAGCCTGCACCGGTGGGGTGCCTGATCGGCAGGCCTCGATCAAGATCGCTACGCCTCCGTAAGCGGAAACCGCCCAAGCATTTTCCGGGTCAATGGTAATGGCTTCGACGGCGGCGGCGGCTTTTTCCTTCAGATGCATTGATCCTGTTTCAAGAATCCTCAACAATGGCCCTAATCCTCCTTCTTCGAACACTCTTTTCCTCGATTCATCGCTCGCCGTGGAGAGAACTGAAACCGCAGAAGCCGCTAGCTCTCGCACAGACGGCTGAGCGTTGAAATCGAGCAAGTGAACCAAATACCCAACGTTCCCCTCTTTGGCAACTAAACCCGCAGACTTCTCATCCTGGTTCAGAAGCTGAACCAGAGATTCCAGAGCCTTCTTCTTGAACTCCGTCCCCCCGATTTGCAGCCGCGTGAAAAGATCTCTGATGAAAAACTCCGTATCGTCTTTATTCGAACCGGGAGCCGGCTGGGACAGCACTAGCGCGTTCGATTGGTAGAGAACCCCAGATCTGAGTAACAAATCGAGGTCGTTGAGTTGGTTAGAGAGAGAAGCCGAGGCCATATCCAAGTCGCTCTGCATATGAAGCTTGCCGCCGGAGAAGGCAGAGTCGG